TATCTTTAACGTGTTGACGCATTTCTTTCCCTATACCATATTATTCTACATTAAGTTAACATTACTTATAATTGGCGATTGATTAATAAATATAAGTTTATATAGAGCGTGCTGTAAATTAACAAAAGGGTTTCTATGGTTTTCATTGTTTATAACAATTGACTTGTTTCCTTACTTTTTGAACACTCTGTATGTACAGATTTGTCGCCGATAACTAGATTTCTTCTAAAATAACAATTTTGAGGATTATCTTTTGCATAGTTTATTACTACTATTTCTCCATTTAAAAGCGGCTAAATGTTTTTTAGGTTCATCCCTTATAAAGGTGACATACATATTTTATCAATTTAAATATTAGAAAATTATCCAGCTTAAAAAATAGCAGGTCAATAAAGACTTTTGAACAAATATATTCCAACTTATGAGCATTTTTATACCTGGGTGTGAGGAAGAACGCTGCAGAGTATGCATAACCATAAAAAGAACATAACTCGCACCTAACCTCTAGTCTACATTTAAAAATGTTGAGAACTTCCTAAATATTGATTCAAAAGTCGTTATTGACCAGTAATTTTCTTATTTGATAACTTTTTACTATATGAACTAGTTAAACACGTATGAAATCATTTAAAAAAATGATGTTAGTACCTTTAAAGGCAACAAGGATGAACCTTAAATCGAGAAATAAATAATTTTATATGAAGCAATCAAAATAATGTCTGAAATTTTTATTATTTTAGAAATAATCTAGTGGTCGACGATAATGATTTCACCACATCGATATATAAAATTGTACTTATCGCCTATGTTATACCTTATATACTCCACTGAGTGGGACATATACAGTGCATTAACTTTAACAATCTTAAATGTCCACCGTAAACATGAATTATTGAATACTCCTGACAGTTTAATATGTAAGACGAAAATATGATATTATACATTCAGCACATGATCTAAATTAAAACTCGTCCAATATTATTGCTGCGCCGATCAGTATCATTCCTCGCAACAATAGGTAAAACGGTGCCAACATTCTCGATTTCAGAGTACTAAGAATACGCGTCTCATTGGCCTCGTCATGTTCGTTGTCTTATAATAACTGACTTTAATATTCATATAAAAGCATAGGTATTTAAAGTTTAAATTCTTACATGTAGTCGTTGTCTTTCTTCAATTAAATATTTTCTAGTGTTGATTTAGTGTATCAATACAAATAATGACATATTTCAGGCGAATTCAAATCTAATTTTCTCCTTATTAAATAATAAAATATGTTTATTTAACAAATGTTTTCAAACAAAATATTTACAACTTTCTTAATTCATAGTCTCTAAACCATCCATAGGAAAAACTAAAATGAAATATTAGAAAGTTTCAAGTTCATTTTTTTTCTCCACACCAAACATATATTTTTTTTATAATTTATTTAAATTCTATTAATTTTTAGAACATAACATTATATTAAATAATTTTTTTCTTTTTAATGATTATGAATGATCTTTAAATGATTCATTTAAATTTAAAAACAACATTTATTAATGAAGAATCAATGTAGTACTATTCGTACCCAATGTATTTGTTTAGCATCACACTAACACAAAGTGCAGTACAGTGTATTATGAAAATGAATTATAATTGTCATAATTTAAAATCTTGGTTAATAAACAGATATATTATTTATTTGAAGGACAAATAGCAAGATGAATTTCACATGATTTCATATTCTATACATTAGATTAGATTACTTGCAAAATCGCAGAAGTTTAACACCTATGAAATTGAATAAATTACTAGTTTTAAAAAAAGAGCAAAATTCTAGGAGCAATTGTAAAAACGTGCTGTGATTCAACATACTTTTAATTTATAAAAACACAAATTTATAATAAATTAAAGAAATATAATAAAGAATAATTCTTTATTATAAAATAAATTATTTATTTTCAAGACGTTTACTATGACATGAACCTAATACATTATAAATCTTCATCTATTAATATAACCTATAATAGATGCATACGACTTGTTTCTATACCTAAATTTAACAGGGTTTCTAGTAAAAGCAAATTACATTTAAAAATTAGACATTGAGATGTTTTATTTTCGATCTATGATTTGCAGATTATAATTTTTATTTTTATTTCCGACTATGTGTGTTATTTAAAATCGCCGATACCTTACGGAATGATGTAAACTTGAATTCTTTTATATATATATAATTGTCTACCAGGAAACAACAATACTGTTTATTTCCAATTATTGGTCAGTTATATTTCTAAGATAGAAATATTTTCCATGTTACTGCGTTAGTTTTTAGTTAAAAATTATTAATAAATATCATTTGCGTTACCGACACTGATTTTAAAACTTAGCCATAAAACAATGTGTAACTTTATAATTTCGGCATGACGTCCCAATGAAGGTTTGCTTGTGGTCCATTGTATTTCTCAAGTTTTCTCGGGATTTTAATTAGGAAATAGCATTACACAGTAGTGTGTCGTTATCGACAAAAATACGCATCCGTAACGAATGGTGAAAAAGGAAACCAGCTGTGTCGTTACATTGTTGACTAATCGCTCCGGCAAAATAGTGTCTCAATCTAACTTGCAGTTGCGACAGATCTTGTCATTCAACAATAACCACGATAAGTAGTTCGGCTAATGTTTTATCGTTTACCTTTTGCCGATGTTTACGTGGGTCATCTCCGTACACTCGCGATGGGGTAATAATAGATATTTGCGTGATGATCAAAACCTAAATGGTCAATAAAGAACGAGGGCGTCTTATAGATGATACAGTTTTGATCGTTTGCCAAAAAATGATGTTTTTTATTTTACCAAGCTCTACTCGCAGAAAGAAGAAGAAACCCAAAGGCAGCCGTGGCGCATCATATACATGACTTATTGTTTGTCATGATGACAAGGCCACAGTCATCACGAATTCTATTTACCAAACGCGTTAATTGTAACACGCTGCTGCAGTAGGTATTACAGATACATACAACACGTGTGCATAATTTGCACATTATACTTAATTCTATGTGCTTAATTTGTAAACTCGATTGCTATGAATCTATCTATGTACACAACAAGCAGTGCATGACGACGTAAAATTACAATGATTATCGCGGTAAGGCTAACCAAGTACGAACAACCTTGACAATTCAAACCAACTCAACGCCGGCAATGATCCAATTGTTGATATTAATACAATGATTACGAATTTACGACAACTAGAGAATTGATTTATTTATAATTAATGTTAATATAAATTTTGAATTTATAATACTGAAGCTAGGGGCATTTTGATAACGATTTTTTTTTTATCATTATCTGAGAATAAAACATTTTATGGAGCATGTTCCTAGAGATGACTCAAAAAAAAATTACCTACCTACCCTATCTGATGAACACCACCCCACTGTTTCTCACTCCAATTGAAAAACACGAGTGGGCCAAGTCGGAAGGAACAAATGTTTTTTCTTGGTAATCGATCGTCTCACCCTAGTTACTAAATTAAAAAAAAAAAGCTGGACATGCTGTAACACGTTTAAGCAACACCAGCGACTAGTTTGAAAATCTGGGCTATTGTAGCCATTTTAAAAGTCATGAGAGAATTTATTGAACTGGGCACAAGGAACCCACATTTTACTAATATGTTTACCAGTTATAATAAACTCTGTTATGATATATAAATATTATTTTTTTTCGACCGATAAATCATTCGATTTAGCGAACCAATTTCTGTTTCTTCTATAGGAAAAAAACCCGATTTATAACCGAAATTATCGAGCCTGCAGACACGCGCGTATAATGATAGTCGGATAATATTTTTAACATGTTATCGATTGCCATAACCGAAGCCGCAGAGCGATGTTGGCGTGACGCGTTTGCGCAGCTAAATCTATTAGCGTTTTTGTTGCCTATTATACTCCACTTAATATAATATTAGACTCAATGCTCGTGTTATGATATATACGAGATCACAGTTACCTAGACTGTGTACCGTCACGACTTGTGATTTATTCGGTTCCCTATACCTGTGCACTTGGTTCGGGTGTTTGCGTTTTTCACGTCATGACGCGACGACGTGGCCGCCCTAAAATTAGATCGGATCACGATCCCATCGATCATGTAATTGTTATCGCGCAGATATAAACCACGGCGATAGACATCGGCGGATGCGTACAGTCAAGACAAGTTTACGGATAGATGTATTATTATAATATGGCGCACTATAACGTCCGGCGTTAATGCGATCACGAGCCGCGGTGGCTGCTCGCTAGTTGAACAACGACAGACAGAGGGCAACTTATCCGTACGATAATCATACTAATAAAAACTCGTCCCGGACGCCCCCAAAAACCCGTTCGTCTAGATCTCGAGCCGCCACCGCCGCACGAACGGGTTTGCGGTCGAAAGGCCAAAATCAATTTGGACTATTATTTAAAACGTCACCTATGCAAGCCAGCTAAGTGTCGGTGCCACGAGCACACTCATAGATGTATCTATACATATTATTATTATTATTATAGCGTCTATTGCTCCAAAAACTAATCATTACAACGAGATCGAGATCGTGACCGCACGCAACTCGTTACGGTCAATTCAGTGCTTCTTCAGTCCGAGTTAATATGAAATGAATACATGTAAAGGCCAACGACAGGACGTGTCACCTCACAAAACTATGTAGGAAGTAGTTGAAGGTAAATTAAATCCTTCTTACATTACAGTACAGAGTAGTGCTGTTCCCATACAAATACAAACATAAGTTTTCGCTAATTTTTAAGTTCTAACTTCAAATTTCAATTCAAGAAACACTACATAGCGTGCCATAAAATGATTTAAATTAATCATTAAGAAATAAATTATTTATTTTCATAATCAGCTGTAATCCTAAATTTAATTCTTAGGTGTGACGTTAATTTTATAGTCTATTGGTGATAAACTTGCCGATTAGAAAACCTTAATGAGTAATAAAGCTTATTACTCTAAAAATAACGCTTATAACATTAATAAACGTTTAAGAGGAAGGTTGTCTTATTAAATTGTCCTTGTTCATAATACAGGAATTCCCAGAATAATCTTTCATATTTCAAATTACCCATTATGTAAGTTGGTAACACAATTTTTTCTAGCCAATGAAAGAAAGTTTACTTTTCATTAATAAATTGTCACTGTGAAATTGTGGACTGCTGTTTAACGAGGTTTTATGAATTGAAAACGTTTTTAAAATGCACAAATCACACTTAGAATAGGAGTGTGGATCAATCAGTCGCCGTCTTACGCTGATGTTCAACTGCTGTAGGTTCCTAAAAGTGTGACCTGGTTGCCTCAATCATAATGCAGTTGAGTCAGATCAACAGCCAGTGCAAAACTCCGTTAAATCGTTAACTCTAAATAATTGGGATAGAGATTATGATGATGACAATGACAAGTTGTACATAGCAATTGCTCATGTGTTACAGCTAAATTTCAAACATCAGAAGAATATTAAATAAAATTAAAACTATATTAAAAATATTATTAATTTAAAAACTAAAAATATTAAACTCAATAGCCACTAAAAATTACTGAAAAGTCGCGGATACGTATTTCGGAAACAATGTTACCATTATCAACGCTAAAAACAAAAACTAACGCAGAAATTAGAAAGTTCGAGAAACTCTATGCTGGTGAGATTCATATTGATTATTTCTTAACTACGGATAAGGCACAATTTTATTAAAATAGGGACGTAAACGAAATATAATGTTGCGTCTGACCCAGGCACGAAGCCAGAAAATATTTATAGGAGGGGCCAACGATTTTGGGCCCTTTTATCATTTTCCATAATTTGTTTCCCATGAAAAGCTTGTGGGGGGCTCCCTCCACTTCTCCTTAGACAGTATCCCATTCTATGAATCTTATAAGTTCAAAATTTTACCATTGGCTGGTTAAAAACAAATTGTTTTCGTATAAAGTATACTAATTATTACAGTATTATAAAAAATGGATAGTACCCATGATTAAAAAAAAAAAAATACTTTCATCTTCACTATCGGAATGAATTTTTCATATTGTGAAAAATAAAAAATATGCTATTTTTGTGTTAAAATTCTGTTTTGTATTTTATTTTATTTTAAAATATCTTACAAGGGGAATACACTGACTTCCATGAATATTATATAATTTAATTGACATAGAATAAAGTTCATAAGACATAAGAAATTAAACTTAATTAATTTTTTTTGCTTTTATAAAGTTGAAAAAGTAACTTTTAAATTTGAATTAGCTTAAATCGCTAATTTTATCACGTGACGGAAGCGACAGACAGTTGCCGAATCGGTAACACTTGTGTTTTTTATGCTAAGGGTACGAGTTTCACATCCGCCTGTGGCATTTAATATTTTGCATTTTTTTTTTGAGTTAGAAAAAAATTTTCAAATCATTTGATTTTTATCTCATTTAGATTCAATAACTTCAATAAATATCAAGGATCGCATCATTATAGTCTCCCCTCGTGAGAAGAAATTACTTACTGAATACATTATATAATAGCTGCAATTATGACATTTGATCGACAGAAATTAATATTAAAATTTAAAAAATTATTTAATTATAAAGCCAATTTTCCAGTTCATTTTTCATAAATTAAACTTTAAGATATAGTTACTATCGAAGGTAAAATAAAAAAATCAACGGTTCTTAAAACTATAACTAATATTTATTTTCATAGATTTAAAAAAAAAAATCATATTTTATTAACTTAAATTATCAATAAATCTAATAATATCTTCACAGATGAATCAGAAATGTAAAGTATGCGATGAACCAGCTGCTGGATTTCATTTTGGAGCGTTTACATGCGAGGGATGCAAAGTAAGTTAATATATACAATTTTTCCATTATGTCAATCTAATTATAAATATTTTAAAAAAATAGAGGTAAATTGATATTAAATTATTGTAAGAATGTGATACTACTAAATATATTTCAATAGTAATAAAAATTTAAATATTTTATTCGGTTAATTACAGACACATTTTGTTATCTCCGTAATAGTGTTTTTTTATCTTGTTAATAAAGACTTTGCGCTTCATATTTTGGATCTATTGAAAAAATAAAGTATGAAATAACAAAATAAATAATTTATTTCCACATTGTATAATTATAGTTTCATTCATTAATCTTCTATTTTACATAACCAAATCGATTTGTCTTAATTAACATTTCTGTCAAATATAGGCGTTAATTTTGTGCTATGATGAATTTCAGTCGATAGATATGACACAAGAATATACTCTATATATAGATATGTACCCTATATATATATCCTCGCGAAGATAAGTTTATTTTTGCATGTATTATATTGACCATTATGTTTCATAATATTTGTCCACAACATTTTGATAATCTCAGTACATATATAGGTCTCGTTTTTATTACATTTTTTGCAAAATAGTTATATAAACGGACCATGGAATAAAACGAGGTACTAATATGTGATTGAATGACTAACTATAGACAAAAATACATTTGGAAACTGACAAGGAATAATTTCAATCGACTTACTAGTAAGCTTATGATTATTCATGCTATTAAGGAATATAACACCTATAAGGTATATACTATGTCCAGTAAGTGAGGAAACGGGTTTCCTTGATTTAAGAACTATTGCATCAATCTATGAACAGACAAATTAGTAATATACAAATGTCTGTAGCGCAAAATAAATAGTTTCAACACTATTTACAGAGCTACAACATTGGCTAATTGGAGTATAGATTTATCAACTAATATTCCACCATACTAAACCTAAAAACTCTAGACTACAATAAAGAGGTCCGACCAGTTTCGGGGGCTTTTCAGACTAATTCAGCGATTATTAATAATATCACATAAGTTCTCAAAAGAATCTATTGTACAAAAAATAAAACAATCTGTTATTTAATAATTTATAAAACATCCAATTGTTTTAAGTTCAATAACTAAAAATAAAACACCTTCTTTATTAATGGAGATTATAAAAAATCTATACATTATATCGATAATAACACTCTAATAGAGGCGATCTAAAAAATAGAGAAAATTACAAACGAGAGATTTCAAAAACTTAAGGACAACATATTAAACTGTAACAAGCTTAAAATGTAAAAAATCTTATAATAATTGCTACTCGCCAATCAATACCATGCGCGAAGAAGTTATTTTTATTCAAGCAAGATACAATTATCTGACTCATTCATATCTTATTTTAAAAATTGAAAAACCAACTTGTGTTACGTTCTCACAATACAAAATATTATCACTAATTGCTCAAAATACTCAAATGTTGTAATAATTGTAAGAATCACCCCTCGAAAAAACACTCGGAGAAAATAATAGATGAAATGTTAGTTTTTTTAACCTTGATTTAGCTAATTAAATGTAAATAAAATTTATTGAATATTTATTCGCATAAAATTATAAAAATAATTATCAAAATTAATAAATTGTAAAAATAAAAGTAGAATAATGACCGTTTTTTGGTGTTGAAGTCTTTTAATAAAAATAAAAAATCGTATAACTTTGTAATGTAAGCGATTACATATAACATCGTTTAATAGTTAAAATCTTAATTTATGATAAAATAACGTTTATTATTACTATTACTTAGAATATATTACTAATATCTTATAAATACATGTATATTTAGTTCGTCGTAGAGTACATCTTCAGAGCTATAGTTACAGGTCCAAGGTTGAAGATATACTGCTGACTTAACATGTTTCCTATTTGTTTTTGTAATTTTTTTTTTTTTTTTGTTATTTTTGTTATTTTGTTTTTATCGTTATCGTTATTGTTGTTATTACTGTTTTTATTATTTTTGTTTTTCAGTAAAAGTGAAAAAAATTATTTTGATGATCGAGTACAGAAAAAAGTGAAGAATACATAAGAAATAATAGTAAACAATTTTTAAACTGATTTCCTGAACAACAAAAATGTGTTTAACACATCATATCATATCTTATCTATAATGAATATAAAAATAAACTTGTTTATAATTTTTTGCTAATGCCACCTAAGTCGAGTTAAATTATTTTAGAATCAGGTTCCTGAATCTTAACACAATTTTTTTTTAGTTTTATTTTCTCTTTGTCATTTTACTATTGTACCTATTCATCATTAAATGGCTAAAAGTATTTTAGCCATTTGGGGATAATATTTTGTGGTAATAATTAAATAATATCATCTAATAATATGATGAAAATCATATAAATTTTGGATTTTTTGACAAAGTTAAAAGTGCATAATCAACGCACCCAAATTAATTTGAACCCTGTAACTCTAACACAATAGGCTCTCACGTTACTGCCCAGGCAATTGACCACTACAATTGTAAGATGATAAGAAGGATTTTAAACAGGTACAAATTTTAAAATCATTTACTCCACTTAGAGAGACATTAGAAAAAATATATAAATAAGTTTAACTTTATATTCATTGTAGATTAGATATATATAACTTTTATGTAAAGCTGTGAACCAATCACTGTGATATTTTTAAATAAAAATAATTATTGCAATATAAAATATAAAATAGAGGACTTCAACACAAAAATTTCGAAATTTACTATAAAAATCGAAATAGTTTGGGTGATTTACGAAAAACGAGAAATTTTATTTCAGTTTTTTAGGGTGATGTCTTCAATTAGACATAATTTGTAATATTTTCGTGTATTATGTAATAGGTCTAGTAGGACCTGAGAAATATCGGAAACAGACATAAATGTTTATTTTATAAAAAATTATGAGTTGTCAGTTATATCTGGTTCACTCTATATTTATTTATATCGATACTAAGTAAAGTATTTTTTATTTTGCAGTCGTTTTTTGGACGCGCTACTGCCAAAGCACCAACCCTTTCGTTTTTTTTGACTGAATGCAAGACTAGTGGAGGTCGATGTGTAATTGATAAAAATAATAGGACGTCTTGTAAAGTTTGTCGCTTAAAAAAATGTTTAACGGTAGGCATGTCAAAGAGTGGCTCCCGTTACGGTCGTCGATCAAATTGGTTCAAAATGCACTGTCTGCTACAAGAACAACAGCAATTTAACATAAAACACGGAATGGATTCAGCAAACTCAGCTCTATGTATTATGCCAAAAGCATTGCTTCGTCAGTCTAAGTACTCTGCTTTTCATAAGCCAAACAAGTATTGTGTTAACTATAATATTGACGAAAGTTCCAAACCAATCGACCTCCGAATAAAACAGTCAATTACACCTGACCATGACGACTTCAAAAATAACAATAAAGTCAATAATCGTCAATTATCTCTCGAAAATTCAAAAAACTACCAATTATTGGTGCCACTTGATTTGACTCGAAAAAACAAAGATCACATACTTCTAAGTACCTAGTGTTAAAAAATATATATTAAACAAGTCGATTACTTATTATAGAAATATTAAAATTGAATATTTCAAATGAGTTAGGTTAATTCTATTTTAAGTAATAATAAGTTGTTATTGTTGTAATATAGCTTAAAAAAATGTTATATAATGTAAAAATCAACAGTGTTAAAAGTAATGTAAAATATACAATATATCAAAATATACTTCTATGCAACTTAAGCAAATTGTTACAAATTCAGTTAATTTATATCGAATACTAACTGTTAACAGCTCAAATTAAAAAACTAGACCAGTCAGCAGAAGCATGAACGCCTTCTTTCGTACTTGCGCGTATGTCTAAAATAGCCTAAATTTGATACCGACTCATTAATTTTTGTGTAAAAAAAGGACTCATAAGTCCACGTATTTTAAATGAACTTTTTTGCTTCTCCTGTAAAATTCAGTTTTTGTAACTTAGTACCTTTCCCCAAACAGTGTCTCGATTATAAATTAAACTATATTGTATAATCTAATTGGCAATTACAGATGTACAACATATTTGCCATATATTTTATGCAATTAATAAACTTCACCTCATCAGAAGGTTAAGTGACACGCCTTAAATAAGTTTAGTTACAACTTTTTCTAGGTAATCGAAACTAAACGCATAGTTACTACTATTACAGAAATGAACCATACGAAATTTCTGTACAATAATAAAGACATTGACCTCGAGAGACGAATTAGATTGACCTATCGAATTAGTAACTGTTATCATTAAAACTCATCCATATACACATCAACAATAGCTATGGAACATTAATCATATACAAATCGACACATAAAAATAAATCATAGGAAATAATTAGAAGTAAAAATATTTCATAACACATGCAATTACGTAAATGTAAGTATGTATTGTAAAGGCAATTCATTGTCCTAACCACCATATTACCCAAATTCACTTTGTTATGTTAATTTAAAATTAATTTTTGTTTTTGAAGTCTTAATCTTTGTAATTTAAACCTCAACGCAAGTTTTATGACGTTCCTAATGAAGTTTCTCAAGTATTTTTTTCTAAATCACAATACTGAGTAGTTTAATTATCGAAATATTTTCTAGGGCAGTATAATTAAATAGAACTACAGATAAAATTATACATCTCTCCGTAACAGTCCTTTGCACCGGAATACTTAATCTCAACGATTCAATACGTGCAATTTTCAATTCGACAATTAGATTTATCAAAGTGTTATTAAATTATAAATTATACTTGACAATATTTATAATAACATTAATTTACTGGATCCACATAGTCTAACATTAAGAAATAAAAATGTTACACTTGTTAAAGATAATATTTCGGAAATTCAACGAATATGTCATATATCCACGCGATGATTATTAATCCTACAAATTTCATTCGAACCCGCCAAAGTTGATCAATAGTGTAAGAGTTGTTTGGTGCATCTTCTAAGACGTTTCCCCATGAGGTTAGCCGCGTATATAGTTCCTCTGCTTCTCGGTCTACTTTCATAACCGACATCGTTATATTCTGCTTAGACGGCAATTAAAACGCTTATACGTTATTATAACCGTTGGGTCGTTTATAATAACATAGCCAGCAATGAGCACCGGTCGTTTTAATCACAAATTAATTGACGAAGAATGATCAACAAGAGCGCGTGTAATTAAAGCCCTCTGGACATATGTCTCGCTGGTACCGCTCAAATGACACGTGCAAATCACACCTGCAAATACACAATATACATTACTTAGTGTACAATAATAAAACAGAGTAACAATTATCTATAATACACGAGTATAGAGTTTATTTCAACGATGTCCCCAAACTACAAATGTAAATACCAATTTTTCATTAAACTAATGCAAAGAATTAGTTCTACCTTGCCGTTTATAGCGATGAAATAAAATTCAAAATGTGTTCAACAGTAAGGGCAGATTAAAAATCGAACTGACGTATATCTCCCACAGGTTTTTTGTTGCTAATTATTAAAAAAAACCAGAGGGGTGTCCTATACGAAAACAACCGAGCTATTTCGACGAATCAATACACGTTTATAATTATACTTTAGGACACCGGTCTGCATGCGTCCGCAGATGTAACAGATTTTATTTTTTTTTTTGTTTTTATGTCTAAACTGTATGGTTCGTTATGATTATTCTCCAAACTAGAGTGAATACTCAACTCGCGCCGATAAATCACAGTAAATTAGTTGCATTTAAAACGACCAAATGAAACCAGTTCGCTTGCCTAGTGTGTGATAGTTAATTGGTCTTATAATATAACAACTTTTATACAGGTGTCTGACTGCGTGAGAACACCACAAACGAGTGTTATTTTAACGACCTGTTGGTGTTGTATTGAAATTGAAAATAATCAATAACATCTAACGTATAATATTATGCACTGTCATAAACCATGTTGAACACGGTTGACGCGCGCAGAAAAATATCCAACGCCCATCTTTACACGCACACAGAATCCTTTCATACATAATATGTAGTAACATAAATATAAATGTATTTTAAGTACTTATAGCTAAACCCGATTCTAAATCATTTGTCTCTGGATGCGTTAGCAACGCACAAGAACAACATCAAAGTACTTTTTGCACATATCAATAATGTTGTGCTCACATTCAGAATTTTTTCCACGGAAATTTAGATATTGGGGCAACCACAAATCATTTATTGTCCATAATTTCATCAAACTGCTAGGAAAATAAATTCAAAAGCAGAAAAAAGGCCTTCGTATAATATCTTACTAAACGTGGCGATAAATTTCAAAAATAGCTATACTACCACTGTCATTAAGCTTATCAAAACACCCGGGAGACCTGAGCACCCTTGATGTATACTTAGATTTGACACTGTTCATACTACAAAGTGCATTACCTTAAATTAATTTATTTTATTTTATGAACGATCACTTCCTAACAGCTCTCTTTATTATTTCTTAATTTGCGGAGAAAAAACTCCATTTTACATAAAATGTAAATCTAACAACAATTTTTAGTAGTATTTGATTCTACAAATTTATAAATTGACAATAATAATTAAACATAACAACATTATTAATATTAAAATACATTAGTAATTAAAACATCCTACAAAAAAAATAGTTATTATAACAAGACACGGAAATTTAGCATTTAAATCTTTAATTAGGACAGCTCTAGATTACAAACATGAAAAATATCAAAACTCAAGTTATTTCCCATTGGAATATTAGCGGGTATAATTAATAATCGTTTTATAAGTGTTTTCTGAGTAGAATGCATCTTTTATTCTAGTATTAACTGAGTATACTCTAAATAAAATTTTATTAAGAAAATCGTGAAAGCGTAAATTATATATAGTTACTCAAACATTTATTTATTTTTTTCTATATTTTAAAAAATCCATTCTTAATGACGTAAAATTCCATCATAATCTCAGTACGGAGGTCTTGTAAGATTGCATTTAAAAGAAAAATAGCGTTAAAATTTTTTTTCCTTATAAAATTCATGATTTTGAACATAGTAAAGTAAAATAGAATCGTTATAACAGATTATAGAAGCATACTTAAAATGATAACGAACTATAGAAAATTAAAGTGTTTTCAAAATATCCGGAAAGTGAAATTCAGAAAAATGTCTCTACGTTAAATATAAATCAGACAAAGCTTTGTGTTTTATATGTTGTGTATGAATATTAACAGTAAGCTCTCTGTAAAATATAACACTTATACATAGTATTCAGTAAGTAAAAAAAAACAGGTCAATTGTTACAATGAGGACAATAGAAACCCGTTTCCTTACTTACTGAACACCTTATATAAATTTTACTGTTCATACGATCAATAAAAAAATTACTTATTATGTAATTCTTTAACATAAGATTTTTGTTTAAAGTTATCATAGAGCATTTATTAATGTTTAGTTTTATGTAATTATTAATACACTATTCAACGAAACAACCAATATCAGATTGAATACAAATAATATCTGAAGGCGTATACATAGTTTTGAATAATTTGGCACTATCCGCTAAAAGCAAAGTTTTAAAATATTTTATAGCATTTATTACATAATTTATTAATAATAGAAAGTGCTGATAAATGGTCACCTTGAAAAACACATGAGGTTACTTTAATAATATTTTATTAAAAATGTTTGACTTTAACTATCTGTGATTTATTAACTGAAAACAAATGAGTTAACCAAGTAAAAAGTGGATTTAAAATGCCAATTATCTCTAATTTATGTGCTAAGAGGTTATAATTTACATCATCAAAATCGGTAAAAACTACATCTGTTTGAAAATTAGAAGAAAAATATTCCACGATGGATTGTTTATATACTACAAGATTAGTAACGGCAGATATTTTGTTACCCATACAGCTATTCAACAAAAAACTATTTAATCAGAAATTTATTGTTTAAGAATAATTTTGGAAAATATTTTTTGAAATCAAAAAAAATCTTAGAAATTTGCCTATTATTGCAAATTTAGTCTTGAGTTCCTTGTAATAAACGTTTTTTTCCAAATGACAAATAATTAAATTAAGTAAAAATTTGATAAAATAAATACACATTTAAAAAAAAAAAAACTTAAATTCTCCGAGAGACAAACATAAAGCTTATGTTATGTACAGAAATTCAAAAAAAAATTGTCCCGACAACTTATTTTCTATGTGCAAATGGTTGCCGTAGTTAAAAAACATGCAATTTTTGTGTTTAAATTTTATTTTTTGTTTATTTTAAAATACCTTATAAGAGTTTCCCATAGTAATGACTCCACTAATTTTTATAAAATTTACATGAATCTAACATTCGTTAATATAAATTTTAACTTAAATTGAATACTTTGCATCTTAAAAGTTAAGGAAAAAAGGTTCTTTGATTTTTTAAACTTTTTTAAATTGTGATTTAGCCATAGATTCATGTAATGCACGGTGGCTGCGTCGACTATAATAGAGACATACATGCTTGTGGTTCGAACCCCCACTTTTCTAGAAACTTTTTTACATTATTTTCTTAATTCTTTTTGAGGTAGAAATAAAATTCAAAGTTCGTTGGATTTTTATCTCATTTAGATTGTATAACTTCAATAAATATCAAGGACACCACCATTGTAGTTTCCCTTTGTGAAAAGTAATTTCTTATTCATATTAAAATATCTTACTACAAAGTTTTTTTTTTGTGTATGTCATTTATTTTTCTCA